AAATAAATACCAACAATAAACATTACCAACTAGGACAACCACATTGTTTAATTTAATATTATACCATATTTTAATTATGTTCACATCAGAATAATTTATAAATGTTTCATATTCATAAAAATAGTTCAAATTCCAATATATCTTCTTTGTTCTTTCTTAGCTGGCATCTCCTGATCTCCCATTCTCCCTTCTTCCCCCAAGGAAAATTAATTGTTATGTCAGAAAAATGACTGACATTTAGTATATTATATTAAATTTATTTCTTCTTTTTCTAACTGCGACTACAAAATTTAATGTTCAAAAAAGAATATCTAAAAATTTCCTTAATCCCGCAATAAAATTTTGAGATTATTTATGTAAATTTATTGCATTGTCATTTTTACCAATTTCGTAATATAGTTTTTAAGTAACCGAAAAATAACTTATAGCATTCCTCTCTCAAATGTGATTCATTCTTCCAACAAGGGTATAGTGCCTAATATTACCTTATTATATTATTTAAACGAAATATTATTGTAAACCGTTTCTCTAATTTTTTTAAAAAAATGATTAACCTACAAATTGTATTGGAAATATTCTTATCAATTAATATTATACAAAATATAATTTTAGTGGCAGAATCTGGATGATTCAATCTTATGAATTCGTATCCTTTGTATTAATCATTTTATAGATTTTTGGAACATTTCATCATAATCTTTTATCGAAAAAAGTTAGATAATATGATTCCATAAAAATACTAGTCAACATATTTGAAAGCCCGGTTAGTGCTCTTTATTCAATTTATCTATGAAACATTTGGCAAAATTATTATAACCTAATTTTAAAATTAAGGGGCAAAAAATTATTTAAAATAAAAATAAAGGCTTGAAAATGAAATTTCTTTTAAATTCACTGCCGAGATTAAAAATGAATGTTGAAATATAGGCAGGGCCCAAAATTAGACCTATGTAGGTCTGTGACTATCTTTTTATTTTTTTGAGTGGCAAGGGATAGGAGGTCAGGATTATTTATATTTCACTACTAAATATTTTAAATTGTCCGTAATACTAAAATTTTGGCGGATTAGATTTGTATTAATTATATAGTTTGTATAAATGAAATCGTTAAATATCACTAGAATATTTCATATGGTATCAATTTTTTTAAAAAAATTTAAAAATAGTTCAATAAATCTGAGAAATTAGATGACACTTATTTCGAATTTATTATCTTTCACCAAGTTGAAACAATCAACTTACATATACTAGTATACCGTATCTTTCTTTATGAATATGTGCATATTGGTTTCAAAGTTATTAAAAAAAGTTATTAAAAAATTTCTTAAAGATTTTATCACTGATGTCCTTTTTGATTTATAAACACATTTTTAGCCTCATTTAAAGGTCCCTTAATATATATGCGATATGTTATGATAATCTTTATTTCTTGTAAATCGATCCTCGTTTTCGATAAAATCGTCAAAATTTGTTAGATTTTAAATTTAAAAGATATACTTTTCATTGATTAGGCCGGTTTTATTATATGGAGAATGCTGGACCGCACAAAAAGGTATACAGGTATAACATAAATTTATTAATCTTCATTCACTAAGTTTAAAAAAATAACACATGATCTGACCCTAACCCTAGGTTAGGTAAACTCCTGCAAGGGACTTCCTAGACCATTCGTTTTTTAGACTATAATGAAACATGTATAGAATTTGAAAGAAACAAGTTATATTTTGTGTTTTAAATTAAATTTTATTTCTACTTTTAAAAAATCAAATAATAATAATGATAATAATAATAATAATAATCAACTGGTATATCTACTAAAATATTTCAATAGATATTTAAATTAATACTCAATTAACATCAAAATAAATTATTTCACAAATTTGAATAAACAACACAATTAACATTCCCCTCCTCGACAAATCATCAAGTTGCTGCTCGGTGGGCGCATAAGTCTGTCTGAGTCGAGTCCACACGTTTTCGTAGGTTTGTTAAAATTGTTGTACGTTATCATTATCATAAGGAATAATTGATCAAATTTGAATATATGGAATACGGAATAAAATTTTAAATTTGGAAAAAAGAATTTGGAATAAAAATTTTGGAGTTTCCGTAAGAATGATAAATCAAAAAAGATTATATAAAATTTCGCGTTTTTTTTAAATTTTGCATTTTATATATTTTATTTTAATAATTTAAGTAGCGTTTTAATATTTTATTTTAATAATTTAAGTTGCGTTTTAATATTTAATTTATTTTTATTTATTTTCAATCTCCGAGGTTTAAATATGCAAATAAAATATTATTCACATTTCCCTCTCTTTAAATAAAATATTTAAATTTAACACCCTAGTTTTAATTCAAAAAGTGTTATTTTTAATAAAAATTCTTCATAAGATAATTTTTAGAAAATGATCTCATCACATCATTTAAATACTTATCTAAAATGAAGATGTTACATAACTTGTCTTCAAAAGCTTTATTTCAAAAACATTTTTATCATATTAAGTATAACTTATAGGGGTTATTTAAATCAATCATGTGATTTAAACCTTTTAATTCATGTTTTAATTACTTTTTAATATATTTAAAATTAAAGTTTTATCTTCTTGTTTAGGATTTTTAATGGTTTATTTTTAATTATATATAAAAATTCATCTTTAGGTTTAGTTAATTTACAACAATTGGTCATCATACAAGAAATAAAAAAAATATCAATATTTCACTAAGAAATTAAGTAAATAATTTTTTTAAGGCATTTTATGTGTTCAAATATGTCCATTATTGATTTACATTTAAGTTATTTTAATAAGTAAATTTACAACATGCCTTTATCTCGGCATAAAATTTTAATTTATAATAACTTTTCTTCTTACGTGGATTAGAATAATAAGTAATCATCATTGGTCTCACAATATAGAATTCATAACCTAACGTCCAACTTCCAATGGTTCTTTCTAGGTTCTCACATTAGGTTAGGTGCTGGTTATCATATTTTTTGCATGAAAGAACGTGCTAAGGTATGATTCTTGGTCATATCAATAGATAAGGTAGTCATCTCAATAGGTAGTCATCTCAATAGATTAGGTAGTCATCACAATAGGTAGTCATATCAATAGATAAGGTAGTCAACTCAATAGATTAAGCAATCATCACAATAGGTATTCATCATAATAGGTAGTCATCTCAATAGGTTAAGCAGTCATCACAATAGGTAGTCATCACAATAGGTAGTCATATCAATAGATAAGGTAGTCATCTCAATAGGTAGCTCACTTTTGTATATGTATATATCAGAATAATATTTGACCATATATATTTTTTTTTTAAAAAACAAGTCATGTCCTTCGAATTTAATTTTTACTTTTTTTTTTAATTTTAGGCAAATTTTATATATTTTCTTCTTTTTTTTTTACAAAAACGTACTGGGGCGCCATAAAGAAAACACGTTAAAGAAACAAGAAAGAAACACGTTATATTTTGTGTTTTAAACTAAATTTTATTTCTACTTTAAAAAAAATCAAATAATAATAATAATAATCAACTGGTATATATACTAAAACATTTCAATAGATATTTAAATTAATACTCAATTAACATCAAAATAAATTATTTCACAAATTTGAATAAACAACACAATTAACAGAATTTTATTGTTCAAAAGTTCATAATACTTTTAAATTGTAACTAATTATTTGAAACTTTAATTTAGATTAATTTAATAAACATTTTTGACATATAAAAATAAGAATCTTAATCAGGTGGCTATCAAATTATTTTATTTCGTTGATGTGGCTATTAGGAAGCTATTAAAAAATTTCGATCTGGGGGCTGTTAAAATTTTTGATGGGGTACGAGACCCAGCATGCACCCTCCTAGTGACGCTACTGTTTAGAAAAACTATTTAAAAAAATATAAAAGTAATAATCAACAATATTTTTCAATATATATAAAAATTTTGAGAGATTATATAATTAAAAATTTGCTGAATTTTTTTTCTGGGTTCCTTTTGTTGAATACTTAACAGAATGTCGCTGCCCAGATCCACAATTTCTACTTAAAATTGAGCGTAGTTAAAGCAAAGGCTAGTAACACCATTATGAGCCTCCAAACATTAAGCGTTTATATTTTTAGAAAAGATGAAATAAAAAAGTATGATAGCATAATCATTGTTCAATACAACATTAACATCAGCGGCTACTAAGGGTGGAGGGCGCAATTTTGAGTCCCCCTTAAAAATTTGAAGACCTTAAAAATTTTGATTTTTTTTATAAATACCTAAAAAGGATATTAGCTTAAAAAGGATCATTTTTTAAATATTAGCTAAAAGAACACAGGTTATTTAAAAAATATTAGCTATAATAAGAATCCCCTTGAGATAGTAAAGACTATTTACTTACTGATTAACATACTAGTCTACCGAAATAACCAATATTAACAGGTTGTATTATAGTGAAAATATCGGGTACTAGCTGTAGAGCCAGTCTACAGAAGCTTTGCTTAACTGTAAATTAAATAATTTTATTATTTGCAACTTGTCAGTCATCTTATTTTATGCTGTGTAGATTAATACTATGCAAAATATAAGGATAAGAAATTCAGATTTTTTTTATGTTATAATTTTATTATTAATTTTACTTTATGCAATTCATTTTATTAAGAAACAAATAGATATAAACTATGATTTCACCGATATTAAAGAATTGAAAATCAGAAATTACAAATATTACATTTTTCAAGATACTAATAAAAACTTTGATTATTTATTATGCTATAATTCAAATCCTCAATATACAATTAATTATCCTCAATCGATCTATGATCTCCCTCATATTATTGCTTCGCTTCAAAATGTTTATTCAAAAGATTATAATCCTTTTGATCATATAAGCAAGACACATCAAAACTGTCAAAATATCCTAAATAAAATTAATGAATTATATGATATTTATATACATTCAGCACTAATACATGACAGATCAAACATTCATCAAAAGAATAAGACATTAGCCTTTAAGTTCTTTGGAAATAAATTCTCAAAAAATAAATATAAAAATATAAAAAATTCTTTTTACAATCAGTCAATATTATATGTATTCAATAAAAAGACCTATGAACAAACAAGTTATAATTTACTTAGGGGTATGAGAAAAATTCATAATCCATTAGCAAATGAAAAGATATTTGTTGATAAATTATCAAATAAAACATCCTTGGATTGTCAATTTTGCTCCTATAAAATAAATACTGCTTTAGATGAACTCAACATAAGCCTTTCAAATACTTATGCCTATACATTTTCCAATGCATTTAAAATTGACAAGTGGCATTCAATAATTGCACCAAAAATACATAATCCAACCGAATTACAATATCAACATGTCAAATCAATGATGGTCTTAAGCCAACAATGGTTTGGTAATGCAAGTAACCATGAATTTACACAACTCAGTGATGATCAATCTAAAATAGAAACACATTATTTTTACCCAATTATTAGTTGGGACTCATTATCAAAGGGAGGAGCAAGCCAACTACATCCACATCTTCAATGTTTTCTTTCTCAAGAACATTATTATGGTAAAATGTATGGATTTTTGCAAAATATCAAGAGATCTTCTGGAGTATATAATTCTCACAAATATGATTATAACAATTTAGATGAAAATATTGAAGAATTGGCTCAAAGCTACAGGGAATATATTGAGGATTTAATAAATGTACATTATTTTTTTGGACTAACTATCCCATGTCCAGGTGATGTAAATGGTCTGCATTTAAATGATAAAAGTTGTGTAATACTGTCATATCTAAATGCCATCAAGGAACACCATATTTTTGTTATTTATCAGCCCTATGAAATGTATAATACTCTAAATAATTCTGTCAATTCATTTGATAGGTTTGTTAAGGCAATTTATGCTGTAATAGACACTTACAGAGCACCAGTTATTCAAAATGCAACAAATAAAAATCCATCTTTAAATGCTTCAACCACATCTTCGCATCCCAAATATGCTTTTAGTGGCTCCATAATGTATCCCCCAATCAAATATAGATTATTTAAGGATAGGAAAATTTTAGATTTTCCTACTATCGCCCATTTTGTAAGCCGTGCCCCTTACTTTGACGATGTTTCTGATTTTAGTGCTATAGAACTTTTTGTTATAAATAATGTTGTTCATGATCCTTATACCACGATTAAGGATTTGAAATCTAAAATTCCTCTGATAAAATTTTAAAACGTCAAATCATCAATATTCACAATTTTTAAATTTTTTTTGCTCAACGTGAACTTAAATCAGGACATTTTTTTTTAAAAAAAGAATAATAAAATCTAATCAATTATATATCCATAAAATATATCTTGTTTTTATAAATTATCAAATTGTAATCTTTTTGCCTTATTTCATTTATAAATATTTCATTTTTAATAGATATTGTTTTTATATTTTGCAATTTTTTTTTTATAATGCAATAAAATAAGTTTTAATATTTTTGACCCATCAAAAATATGTAAATTTAAAATCCTCTAAATAATTGTTTGGAATATATTTTAAACTAAAAATAACATATAATATATTTTATAAAAATAATTTTCGCGACGAATACTTATTATAAAATTTCATACAATTATTTTGATGCAATATTATTAATAAAATATTTTGTTTTTTTAAAAAAAAGAGCAAATTGATTTTTTACGCACATCTTCATGCTAATCTTTGGGCTAGTTCTTTTATATTTTTTTAAGTAACTCATTACGGATTCTTGTTGGTCCGCAACTTAATCTAATGAAATCAAATCTAGATGCCAGGACAGTTCTTTCATCTTTATAAAGTTGTTTCGCAATTTTGTATAGATCTGCCCATACTACATAAAAATCTTACAAACCCGGGTAAAATTCTGAGGCATAAATAAAATTTATATTCTTAGTCTTTAAAGTTGAGCTCTATGAACTAGCTTTTCTTGGTCCTCAAACTACAGCTCTGTTTATAACCACCCACCCACCTCATCCTCCTTCATCCATCAATCCGTTTTGAAGATTCATATAGATTTGTAATAATTCCGTCACCTGACACTCAGGTTTAAAAAAATAGGAAAATAACTATCATATTACCCCACGCCCCCTTTCCCGCATAACCCTCGACATGAAGATTCGATGACTGACAATGAAAAGATATTTTATTACAGTTAAGAATCCACGGGAAAAATTTGTGTTTAAAAAATAAGTTTTGACTTAAAAAAATCAAAAAAATCTTATCTCTCATGATTTATCTGCCGATCCCCCCTCCACCCACTTTCCTAGGTAGAGTAGATCTAGATGGGGAATAAATAATTTTGTTAAACCGCTTTCTACTAGGTTTATTTATAAAAAAAAACTAACAAGTTATAACCGTGACCGAACGCCAGAGTCAATTTTAAATAGCTTTGGATGATAAGTCCTATTCAAAAGCGAATCGAATAAGAAATTATTCATTTACGAATGAGGACTTTTTTGTTCGGTTATTCGACAAATTATTCGGTATTCGAATATCCAAATTATTTGGAATAATTATTAAAATATTTATTTTTTCCCACAAGAATAAAATTTAACCCGATCATTCTTGACAGGTGACGCGATTAACCAATCACAAGCTAGCTCAAAAGTTTTTTTTTCTCATTAATTGTATCCTAATTTGCTTCTTTTTTTTTTGGGGGGGGGGGCTAAAAAGTTTAATTACCATTTTCTAAATTGAACCCATAAGCATTTTAATTATCGCTAATAACTTTATCTCGTAATTCTTTTATCATCGATGGGGTAATAAAATGAAATTTTGTCAATATATTTTGTTAATAAATATAATTCCTATCGAATACCGATTTTATTATTCGTAAGATAACCGATAGTCAATTATTCGATTAGTTCATGCGGTATCCGTATATTCGTTTTGAAATAGACCTTGTCAATTAGGGATAATGACTCCCACTGGTGTTTGTTAAAAAATTATTAGTCACAAACTAGTGTTAGTCGATTAACTATTATATTTACATTCATATTATTTAATATAAATATTAATAACAAAAACCGATATTAGATCCCATGATTATATATATATTAAAATATCAATATTACGACCTGTTTAAATTATCTTTTATTTTCTACATCATATAAATAGTACAACTCCAAATCACCTAATTACAAAATTTAAAAAAACAAAGAAAATTCAAAACACCATCCTTTTCTTTTATAAAATATATTGAAAACAGTATACATAAATGTCAATCACAAATCAACAGATACAATACTGACTATTAGTAATAGTCAGAAAAATTCGACTGAAAACAATAGTCACTAAATTAGTCGACTAACCTTGTAATCATAGTGGCGCCATTGCGATCGCTATATAACAGCTGACGGTTTTTTAGAATCTTTTCTTTATTCAAATCATTCTTTCTTAGATAATTATTATGAAATGAATTAAAGCAAAAAAAATTTTTTTTGTCTTTTTAGCTCTCACCTTTTTCTGTTGGTAAGCTCCTTCAATATCTCATCTCCACTTTATTACTCATGCTATCTCTTTTTTTTATCTAATTTTCTGATATCCCCCTTCCCCCTCACCGAAGTTTCTTATAGATTCCATTTGGAAATTCCACCGGAGTATCGCTATCGAGGCCAAATTGTATCTTGATCTCACACCGAAATCGATCTCATAAACAGATTTTTTATTTTATTTTATTTATAATATAAATTTTATATAATTTTTTTTAAAAAAAAATATACAAAATATTAGATATGTTGCCACCTAGGCACTAAAAAAAAATAAACAAATTCAAAAATTAAAATAAATAAATAATAAATATAATTAAGAATATAAAATTTATAAGCTAAATTCATAAAAAATTAGTCGACTGATCGAAATAATTAACAAAACTAGCTTACAAGTATTTAAAATTGAATGAATGAATGAATGAATACGACCAAATAACTATAATTATTATTTGCTCGTGAATGGTCGCCGAAGCTGTGGCGTAGTCAACTGCTACACTTTACCCGCCCCCAAAACGTAGAGTGATGAGTGACAGTGTAAACTGATCCGTTTTTTTATCTCTCCCATCACTCAGACACAGCTTTAAGGTCAAAATTTCTAACCTACCTCCCAACCTCCCCTTTCTCCTAGAACCCAACATCCTAAAGTGATAATATAAACCCCCCCCCCCCAATATATATTTTTTTAAAGGTTTTATTTGACACCCTCGCCCCCCCCCCCACAAGTGAATTGCACATTTATTTTATTCACTATTTAAATTTGGCCTAATTATCGATAATTTAAAATGATGTATATCTAATTTTATTATTATTAGAATTTTTAAAACATTTAAGAAGCGATCAATGACATATATTAATACCTAGACTGACAATGCATCCATTAAAAGTGTAACATCAAAATGAAAACAGCTGAGGACGCCATTTCGATTACCCATATCATTATTAAAAATTTTAAATGAGAGGCCAATTAATTAAAGAATTGCCTGATCAAGTTATCAATTTAATAATAGTTTTTTGACATGAAAATAATTATTACACGGGTTACCAAAATGGCGGGCCCAGCTGATTTGCATTCAACGACGCTTTCAAAAATGCATTATTATGAACGCATCAGCAGTATAGGTATTATTACTTGTCACTAGAAGAAATGTAATAATAATATATTTATTTTTTTTATAAGGAAAATACATTTTGTTCCTAAAAAGGAACACTATTATATGAAAATGAATAGTAAATATTTTTCTACGATCCCTTCTTCTATTTAAAACTATTTTTTAAAATTCATTTTACAATAGTGTTCAATCTGGTAAAGGAGGAAACATAGCAAATATTTTTCTAAAATTTCCTTCACAATAACTTGTATCTAACCCCTAAGCATAACCCTAGAGAGTTGATTGGCATTCGATAAATTATTTTTAATTTGATACTTTTAATCGAAATTTTTTTTTCGCCCCTTTTCCTATTTCCCATGAACTCCTCTCGAGGAAAAGCGAAATAATTGTTTTTTATTTTTTTTTAATAAGAAAAATTTAAAATACGATTTTCTGCCGAAAGTACAGTAATGATATGGAAGAAGAAATAAAAGCAAATAATTTGGAGTTTTCGTTTTTGAATTTTTGTAGAATTAACGTATCTAGGAAAACCGGTAACCGGTTTAAATTATCTTCAGTAATCGGTTTTTAAATTTTTTTTTAAAAATTCTATAATTTATTTTATTCGGAGGCTAAGAATACATAAAATACGGTTCGCGTTCACAACTACGAATTCAGGGGTTATAGTGGTTTGTTTAATTTTTTATCCATTGCTGTATAAAACGTTTTAAAATAAATCCCGGAAGAACGTAAAATCTTAGAATTAGAACCTCTTCAGTTTAATCTAATCGGCTCCAAACCTCCATGGAAAATAGGCTAAGAACTTCTCTCCGAAAATAAATATATTTGGAAGTTTTGTTGAATTTTTTGGAATGTATAAGCGATATTTTTTAAAGAAAAAAAAAATTTAGATGAATTTCTTGGAGAATGCTAAGAACTTCTCTCCGAAAATAAATATATTTGGAAGTTTTGTTGAATTTTTTGGAATGTATAAGCGATATTTTTTAAAGAAAAAAAAATTTAGATGAATATCTTGGAGAATTGGCATTATATTTGTTTTCAAAATGTTTAAAACTTCAATTTTTTTTTATAGAATGTGTCGTAGAGAAATTTCAAAAGCCGTTTTTCTAATTGGAGGGAAGTTATTATGGAATTATTTTTTTTATTCCCTTTTAGCTTCCACCTTTTCTGGTGGTAAGCTCCTTCAATCTCCTCTCAACTTTATTACTCATAATATCTATTTTATATTTCTGATCGATTCCATTTAGTCCTCCCACCGTAGTATCGTTATTGAGGCCATTGTATCTTGGTTTCACACTATCAATATCGACAGATATCCCACCGGAGTACACCGGAGTATTATTATCGATTCCATTGATCTCCCACCGGAGTATCGTTATCGAGGCCATTGTATCTTGGTCTCACACTATCAATATCGACAGATATCCCACCGTAGTACACCGGAGTATTATTATCGATTCCATTGATCTCCCACCGGAGTATTAATTCCGATGGATCTACCACCGGAGTATCGTTATCAAGTCCATTGTAGCTTGTTATACATTGTGCTTGAATGACCTCCGAGGTGACCATTATCCTAGCGCTGGCCAAGAGATCGTTATCATCCTTGAATGACCCACAAATTCAGCTGGCCATCTTATTAGGTTTATTGGACAAGTATCCTAGCACCCGGCTGTCTAAGCCTATCGGTGACCGGGGTGGCATGTGGCATTTTTTAGCTCGTAATATCATCTTATCATATGTCTGTACCCATCCGT